GTTGCTGTGTTGCTGTGTTGCCGTGTTGCTGAGGTGGTTCAGCGTGGGGCTAACGTGTTGCGTGTCGTCGTGTGTTCAGGCCTTCATCCGGATCCTGCGCTGCCGGTGGAAGAGGAAGCGTCAGGGCTGGCAGGCGTACTACAACTACCGCTGCCAGCAGGGCTCAAACAACTCGTCCTTCCTGAACGGCAGCCAGCAGACGCTGTCCTCCATCAGCCCCAGCCCGCGCTGCGTTGCCTCCAGACTCCGCCCCCCGCCGTGGCCCTCCTCCTCGGACAGAGAACTCCTCCCTGGATCTGCGGTAAGAGGACGGCCGAGCCCGGTCTCCCCGCTTGCTAAGGATGCTGGGACGGGCATCGCGGGGCGCGGGGTGGTGAGGAACGGTCGGAGCGTAAACAAAGAGGAGCAACACGCCGCCTCGAAGTAACCTGCAGCCTCAGGTGGCCACGCCCCCAAGAATACGCACAGGTATCAGGTGGTTGTGACTGTTCCCGCCTCCTCACCTGAACCGCTGACCTCTGTACACAAACTGTTGGTACCAGCGGGGGGTTTCACCTCCACTGCACAGAAACACAAACACCCAGAAAACTGAATGAAACTAATAAAAAGCATCTTTAATTAAAATGGACCCAGTGTTAATCAAAGTTCCAAAAGTCTAAAATATGAAGCGTAACAGGAAACTAATTACATGTAATAGATCTGAAAGTAGTGCAAACATTATTTTTTATACTTTCACTTTTTGTTTCTTTACCTTATTAATTTAACTCCTGAAATTAAAACCGATTCAAATAACAGTAAATCCAATAAGGAAATTACACTGAAAACTGTTTTTGTACATTTATTTATTGTTGGGTTATTTTCTTCTTTATTTATTATGTTAAAAGGCTCAAGAAACTCCTAAAATTAAAAAAGTAAAAGTCAACCGAAAAGTGAAGTTTAGAAACAAATTGGAAATTCAAAGCTAATTTTGAGACTTATATATATTATATATAACATTGTATTATGTTTATTTATTGTCATGTAAAAATTGTTTTTTGTTGGTTAAACCTTATTTTAAAATCACAAGACTTTCACTGCTTGTTAGCCACTGAGCTAACAAGCTAACTAACTTATGATGATAGCTCGCATGCTAAGCTCTAGCGAAACAAAATATCTTCTCTCTTTTATTTGTTTATTATTTAAAGTGCTAAAGAAAATAAAGTTACAATTAATTAAAAGTCAAGAACTAAACAAAAATAGGAAACTTAATTAATAGAATAAAACACTAGACAATAATTAAATCGTTATCTATTTAGTGACGTATTGATTCATCGATCCAGAGTTTGATCACAGCAGCACCTAGTGGACGTCAGAGGAACTGCAGGTGTGAACCGTGTTTATATCTCACGTCACTGTGTGTGTGTGTGTGTGTGTGTTATATTGATGACTCTCCTGTCCACAGGTTGGATCAATACTTAATCACATGTCCATCAGACAGATGTTGGAGATGTTGGAAGGTGTAGTGTTCTCTGTTCTTGATGGAGCTATGCTAACAGTTTCCCCCTGCTTCCAGTCTTTATGCTAAGCTACGTTAATGTTGTGGACCAATCTCTGTGGAGATTTTAATATCTGACCGAAGAGTTTGAAGTGGTGTCGTCATTAAAATGAATAAAAGTGTTTGTGTTGCTGCTCTCTGTTCTTCCTCCCCATGTTAACACATACAGACTGAACACTACCAATATAATAATAATTATTAGAATTATTACACAAATACATTGGTGTTCTTGTTTATTGGGATTATTTCTATTGTTTCTATTGAAATGATTTTATCTCTAAAATCTGAACAGCCTCAGATAAAATGTTCTTTAGGTCAATAAACAATAATCATATTTAAATGTTTAATATTATTTAATAAAAAACATGAACAAAGTTTAACTGAACATTTTTTATATTTTAGCCTTCGTTTGATTTAATGACATTAAAGTTAGTTGAGTTGAGTTTGATAAACTGATGTTGACTGTCTCTACACAGAGTGCTCCTCCTCCTCCTCTGATTGGTTGAGCCTCCTGTCAGTTCTCCTGCAGAGTCCTGAGAGATCAATAAAGATAAAAGTTGATCAGCAGTCTCAGTGATCAGATATTGATGTTGGAATTCTCTCGTTTGGCCACAAGAGGGCGATCAAATAATACAGTGTGTGTGTTACAGTGTGTGTGTGTGTGTTAGTGTGTGTGTTACAGTGTGTGTGTGTGTGT